CGACCATCAATCCCTTAGGGCTGTTCTACTGGATTCTGCCAATACGTTCCGAAACTCTATAGACGTAATAGTTAGATTTCCGGGACAGTTTCTTAGTAGGAGCAAGGTAGACAAATATATTGTCATTGTTTTCGTCTCTGGACTGATTTATGTCTGACGTACGGATGGATAATTTACATTGACCATTGACAAAGATGGCAGGCGAGTGGGGTTGGTCGGTCGGAAAGGAAGAATTGCTCCTGCTGCTGTGGACGATCCTTGTCCCGGAAGCTGGGATTTTTACCGTTCGACTTCGGTTGTACTTTTAGTTGTTCCTAGGTACATTGACACTGGCGCGCTTCCCCTTCCTCCCTCCCCCCTTCCCCTCTCTCGAATCCCAGCCTACAGCAGGCATTCGCTTCCAGTGCCAGTTATCCCAGTCATCCAGTCACTGTTCGAGTCCTTTCAGTTACCCCGCCGTGGGGAATGACTGACTGGCTCCCTGTGCGCCTGTCATTCCCTGGCTTTGGACCGATCGATCGCGATCATTCGCTCTGAGCCTTCGATCGAACCTGTCTCTTCAACAACCTTGCAGCGGGAGGGACGCCGTAGCCGTCGCGGTTTAGGGAATGCTGCAAGGCAAGTCGCCTTGGAAAAACCCTGGACAACACGTTGTATACGTTACAAGCCTTCCCTTTTTGCTTCTTTTGCGTCCTCTTTCTCTGTTTTCTTTTTTTTTTTTCATTCATTTTTTTTATTCCGTTTTATTGCTATCTTGGTATTTGGTGCAATTTTCGCTTTCTGAACATTATCTCTTCTAACTTCCTTTGAGGCCATCTGATCCTTCCTCGGATTGAACATGAAGTGTAGCTAAGGCTCCAGGCTTGCTTACCCATAGTCCGGATTGGGATAAGCTATGACTTGGGATCGCTTTGTCGGTTTCTGTATGGTCCAGTGACCGGCCTCCGCGCCTTTTTGACACCACCACCGATGTGGATCCAACCCGGCGATCTCTTTTTCCCTTCATGTATCGTGACATTGTCTCTTGTCTGCTTTTTGAGATTCTCGAATAATTGATTGGCTTGCGACAACAACCTCGCAGCCAAAAGAGAACACTGATCTCAATTGCAGTGCCAATATCTACTGTACTGCATTGTCCTATCGCCCCGCCTCCTCTCCGCGCGAAGACAAGGCCCTTTGGGCGAGGCCTGCAGCCATACCTGCTCCGGACCGTTCCTGAGGAAGAGAATTTGCTTCCTTGCTCCTCCCGTGCAGTTTTCTAGTGAGCTGGTGTTGTGTTGTTGGTCGGTTCAGCTGTCCGTTCGCTGGACTGCTGTGCCTACTTGTATTATTGCGCTTCCGGGATTCCCCCCCTAGTATCCCTTTCTCCCTTCCCCCGGGCTACCAGCCATTATTGCTTTGTACGACGTTGAGAGGTGAGTGGGTAGGCCAGGGTTATGGTGAGGCTTTATTACTTTTTGCTGCACCTCCCAATCTTCTCGTCTTCAAACAAGAAATGCGTGCAGGAAGCATTTTCCGTTGACTGAAACTAAGCGCGGTGGACGCTCTGGTCGTCAACCGTACCACCTCGCCCCCTCTTCCCCCCACTTGTCTACGGCATTTAATCAAGCAGAGACTGCAATAATTAACCCAGCGGGACAGTTGAATGTAAGGCAGGCCAGAATCATTAGACCAACCCAAAGGGCTGAATCAAATTCTCCCGCCACCGTATCGTCAAAACAAAAAGGCCTGTTTGTATGTCGAACGAATTATACCAGAATTCTTGAGGCCACCCTCATTTACCCCAACTCCTCCGCTGCTGTCTTTTAGCAAGCATCATCCTAGTAGAGGTACGGGGCAAGTGCTCCGCGAGTACTAGATTCCACCCCAACACACACCTCAGAAGCCGAGGCACCTACGCACAGATCACGTCTCAAAAAGTCGCCTACGACAAGTCAGAATCTCCTGTACCTAGGATCGAGGGTTTTGGGAAAGGGACACCTGATTTCTTCTACACGGTCGCTAAAAAAAGAAAGAAAAAAGACCAAAAAAATGTTTGGGAAGCAAGACAAACAAATAAGAACGGAAGTTAGCCTGGTTCTGGAAGCTCACTAGCATTAGAGAAGGAATGGAGTTCGATCGCATTCGAGTTCGGGTTCGAGTTCTGGGTGTGCCATGAAGGGGTTTCGATGGTTTGCCCTTAGTTTCAGCTTCGTTTTGCCCTGGCGCTGGTGCTAGCCTAGTCTGGCGAGCCGGGAGGGGACTGAAGAAAGATGGGGAGGGATGATGCTGTGTCATTAATCAATCAATCCCCTTTTCTGTTAACCCACCCCCAAGCCCCAAAAGTTCATCCAGCAACAACCGAATACTAATGAAACGGGCTTCTCAGACGTTCCCGGATGACACGGGTTCGTTCATCCACTATTTTGGTATGAGGTTTGGCATGAACCACTCAAAAAGCAAAAAACACAACACATTAAATAAAATTCAAAAAAGGAAGGCCAAAAAACATGAACCATGTCAATCCAATGAAAACATGAAAACCGAAGAGGAGAGAACGAGAAAGGCATGGATGGAGATCGGAAATGTGCAAACGGGGGTAAAATCGTCACCTCCAAAAACCTCTCTGGGCCTACTCATAGTTAGCATACGACTAAAATGTGGCATCTAGGATCTAGGATTCCTTGCGGGTTCCCAGTAGGCAATTTGGGGACCTAGCGCAGGGATGGTTCCTCATGGAATATGGATCCCCCTCTCCAAACTCCATCAAGCTACAAACCTACTAAGTACATCTCTGCGCTGGACAGATGTAGTTATAGTACAACCTCTCCATAGTTACCTAGTACACACCGGTTCAAAACACGGAGTACACCCGGAGTACATCCAGGGAGGAGCTCCAGTAGTGAACATGCTTCGACTCGAGCATAGCACTAATTGACTGAACCTCTAAAGTAGGGGCATACACAGCCTGGCCAGTCAGGCTGCGTCTGAAGACTCTGATCTAATCTTCTCTTGCCAGCCCGTTCTTCCTCCTTTCCATCCACCCCCGGATTATTTTCTATGGGTAGATACCAAGCCAGCGCTCACTACCTTTCGAGATTCCTTGGCATCTGTCAGGACTACAACCCTAAAGACGAGTCAGGTAGGGACCGAAAAGAGGATCAAGAAGGACCAACAATGAATCAGGGGAAAAGGAAAATTAGGATCTCAAAACGATTGAGATCATACGGGGGGGCCATGAGAATGGATTGACACAGTCATTTGATATTTATATTTCTCGATCATTATTACTAAGTTCTTTCCATCGTAGTTCCTTTCTCGACCTCTCTCTATTCTCTCTCGGTATACACTTCACTTCACTCATTTCTTCCATTTGTAGTTTCCCTCCCCCGCGCTTGCCCGTTCATTCTTCTCTTTACATGCCCATTATAAACCAAAAGGAGGGAGCGAGCAAGTTGAGACGAACCGTTCGTCCATCGTAGTTTTATGGTCAATGTATCCACTCCACTTCACCTCCCCTCCAAAGATCGTCGATTCTTCACTGGGGGTTTTCTTAGTTCTTAACTAACCCCCCCCTCCCTCCCTGTTCTTAACTACTTACCATATTATCCATGGTTGACGGGCTTGGCTTGGATGGAACAGCTGACGGACGGTTTGCGCGCGGAAGATGCGCGTGTTGTGTCTTGTTGAAGGGATGATCTGATCTGATTGTTCGTGTTTCTTATTTCCCCTCTTTTCCCTCTCGTCGTCTCTTGACCATGGTGGACATGCATTGCCTTCCTTATTGGGTGACAAGATAATATGTGTGTGTGTGTGGGCTTTGGAAGGATTTTTATATTCGGTCTACAGAGTAGTTTGTCTGCAGGATCTCGGAGGACCGCGACCTGCATGATCTGATCGATGAACGGTGCTATACATTTTTTTTTTCACGATTCAAATTCGGGGGGGGGGTTTATAGAAAGGAAAGAAAAGGTAAAAACATGGGCTACGTATGTAGTTGGTTAGTACGTGGGACGTGGGGGAGAGGATCGAGTTCTTCTTCGAAATAAGACAAAATTAGAAGTATAAAATTGATAGGGAAAAAAAAAGTGAATTCGAAGAGGGCATTGAAGGGAAAAGAGATGCGATGAAAAGGGTAAAGTGTAGAAAAGAAAAAGGGAAAGGAAGGAAGGAGGTGGATATCGAAGGGGAGGAAGGGGAAAAAAAAAGAAAAAGGAAAAAAGAAGTAAAAAAAAAAAAATTAGAAATTTTAGATTAAGGAAGGAAAAGAAAAATCAATTAAAACAAAAAAAAAAAAAAACAAATCAAAAATTAAATTGTCTGAACCCCGACAACCTTGAGAAAAGAGATCTGGTGTCCACCCAGCCCAGATCCAATTGTTGAGCTGCCTCACTCCCTACCTTGCATAACCTTGGTTCAGCTGTCTCCATCGTCATCGTGTGCGGCAATGTCAAGGTACTTTTAGACTCAGGCCCTGGTAACTATATTACTATTCTATCTCGCCCATATCTCTCTTCAAATCCACTAATTTCACCAGCAGCAGTCGCATTCATACCAAATACTCAAAAAATCCTACTAATCCTCACGATCCTACCTCCCTCTCTCGTTCCCCTTCAATTCTTTATCTTATCCTTCTTAATCCACTTCCATCCCCTCCCCCCTCCCTCTCTCTCACACCCCTCCTTCTCCTCCTCCACTCTCCTATCCTTTTTCAATCCACCAACCCCACCACCACCACTCACTACAATCCACTCTGGCTAGATTAGCCTCCTTCCTCTCGGTTTCTTCTCTCGATCAACATAAGAGAGACTTGACGCGCGCGCGCCGGATTGCCTCGTCATTCCAATCCGATCGCCCTCCCAGGATTGTCTGAAGAGCCGCAGGTCGGCTGTATTTACCCTGTCTGTCTTTGCGCTAGCGGATAGTCACATCGTGTTTCAACGTCGCCACCACCACTCTTGAGTACTTTACAGTCTATGTCCCAGTACCGTGATCTGGGCGAGGGAACTTCTGCTGGAAAAATGGCTATCTCATACGCAAGTGGAATGACAGCCGATCATACGCCAGCCCTTCCTTCCTTCCGAGAGGTGAGTTTGAGAGTCACAAACTACCCTGTCGCTGAGGCCTCCGAGAGTATATACCAAAAAAAAAAAACTAAACTGGTCTTGTTACCCCCGCTATAGCTTCTTCCTCCTCATCTCCACGATGAAATTGAGTCGACTTCATATTTTGCCTCCCGCCAGAATCCACACACGCGCGAAAGACCCCTTTCAGCTAGTTTCGACTTGACCCCGACTTCCCGATCTCTGTCCGATCGCCTGCCGTATGCCACTCCCTCGAAGCTACCATTGGCGGACGACTTCCGGCCTGGTGAAGCATTTCCGCGAGACAGCAGCAGCCCCCTTCATAGCCGCCTTGCCGGAAATCCCCCTCAGTCCGCTTCAGCCTCGACTCGATTTACTTCTCGTGGCCCCAGTCCCATTCTGCCGTCGATCCGCGATCTTCAGTCCCTGCCCGAACGGGGGATGTCCCCTTCGTCGGCTGCATTCTCGGAATCAAGGGGTTTGTCGCGACCCGAGTACGCGGCACAGGATTTTCGCGCTGGGCCTATGAGCGGCCACGGTTTTCCTGCGACCAACATTTCCGGCCCCTTAAATGATAGGAGGAGTGCAGATTCGTTTATGGGAGGCGCTGGGCCGCATTCGTTGCCCAACCAGGTCGCATACCCGTACCCCACGATGGCCTACCAGAGCGACTCGGAGCAAGTCACCCCGCAATCGCTATCCCACGCCCAGCAATCCAATTTTGGCATCCTTGGCGATCCGATCGACTCCAAGAATAAGCGCAGACGGGGCAACTTGCCGAAGCCGGTCACGGATATCCTGCGCGCCTGGTTCCATGAGCACCTTGACCACCCATATCCTAGCGAGGAGGATAAGCAGATGTTCATGACTCGTACGGGTCTCACGATTAGTCAGGTAGGCCGATACCACCCCATCCATGTGTCTCCCCTCACACGATTTGCTTATTCTTTCCTTAGATCAGCAACTGGTTCATCAACGCAAGGCGGCGACAGCTCCCTGCACTTCGCAACCAAATGCGGAACGGTGGTAATGACCTCGATTCTCAGCGGCAGTCACCTTTCAGCGATGTGGAGCATACATCTCCTGAGTCGATGCCGTCTCCCCACAGGGGCACGAAGCCCTGAAACATTGCGACCCAATTAATTCCGACGCGGAATCCCGACTACTGGTCACATTTGCCACGAAATACATCCACTACGTCATGAGTTTACGGAGTCCCTGCGACATTGACAACCGAATAGACATGAGCTTTTGCCGACAGTTGTTTTATTCCCTTTTTATACTTTCTGGATTGTCACAGAATCTACGAGCCGAGCCGAGTGAGGTTGACAAGACCACTCTTGATACCCTTTATCGTTTTCTAATCGACTTCAAAATCACTTTGCATGGTTCCGATCCACGGGGGGGTCATTCTTTACGCGCGTGGGAGCACGTCCGGCCCGCCGTCTACACAGCATTGGCGTCGCCTGGCTTCCTTAATCACTGTTTTTTTTTTCGCATCTGAGGCGTTTGGCTTGCGCTTCTCACGTTCAGGTCGGCATTTTGAGTTTTCATTCCCCTCAAACATATATTAGACGACCCTTTCTTCATCGATGCACCTGAGGGGTTTGGGTTTGGATGGGTCTTTTGCTTTCGATGAGCGCTCAAATGATCTTGTACAGTACATGGGTGACGTGATCATGTCAAGCTAGACTGCTTTTTTCCCCTGACTGTTCTCCTTCTGTCTCTTGTCATTTTTCCTATGTTACGAATCTCTTTGCATAATTCCCGCCCTAGATTTCCGAAAAAACCGAGAAGCATTAATGATTGAAATCATTGTTACGAAATACCAAAGCATAGACAGCGCAGGAGAGCAAGATAGACCTCTAACGAGCAACCACCTTGCTAATACTGAGCCTTTTGCTCCATCAATTATCTCTTCGTCCACGGTCAGGTTTAGTCAGCCAGAATTTACTTGCTTCCCTTTTTTCTCTCCCCCTCGAAACAAAGTAGGTACTACATTTTCGGTTCTTTTCTCCTCAGTGGCCATTTTGGTCTCCGCTGAACCATGGTTCAGTATCTCAAATCTCGCACCCGGCAGCCTGTTGCATGTCTGGCAATCATCGGCCCAACAATGTTTGATTTACGGAAACTACGCCGACATGCGTTGAGTGTGTTCGAGTTTTCAATTTCTTTGGCTTTTTCTGCTTTGGAAAAGAGATGCGGTTGGTTATGGGCGGCCTGGTTCCCCTCATACTCGAAGTATCTCAGAGTAAAGGCTTTCAACCCCTTTTCGATCATTTTTTCTTTTCTTTTTCACGCACAGATAACTATGTTAAGGGCCAGAAACATATTTCGCACAAGGAGAAGAGGGAGGAGAGAGAACGGGCCTGTATCCTGTCTGTGTCCTGTGTAGACACCTAGAATGCTCCACATTTTTTCCATTCTTTTTGCTTTCAGTTCAAAGCTTTTGCGGTGAGTGTAAATCTGGATGAACAATACGAAGGAAAAGGGAACGAACTGAGTATGCGGTTAGGACCCTTTCTCTCTATGCTGTTAACACGTCATGGTAACCTTTTCCCCTTTTCACATTGCTTTTCCCTCACCTTTTGGGATTCTACTTACCTTACTTTTTTTTCCGCTTCTGTCTTCCATAAAAAAAGAATCAAAGGACGAAAAAATCAAAAAGACAAAAAAGAAAATAAAAAAAACTCTGATTATTCGTCGCATTAAGAAATCCGATGAAATCCAAATCGCCCAGGTATCCAATCAAGCCTCAAATTCGGTCCCAGCCAGTCGGGACGGATAGATCGACCGACCGACCCTAATGACCGATTGGCACGAATCATGGGATGGGATGGTTGTCTTTGCTCAATACAATCATGTACCCGCCTACTCGCCTACCTATTTACCTACCTACTCTTCTGGGGGACTTTGGTAGTTCATCTAATTTTGTTTCTCATGCCTAGGTACATTTATCTAGAAATGGAAGACCACGGTCAGAGAGCATACAAATATTATAATCTTGGTACTGTGAGTCGGTATGTAAGTACCGGTACTGAGGTTGGGTTGTAGAAGGGGTACTACCTAGGTAGGGGCCCTTGACCCTCCCCCCCATCCAATCCGCCCCTCGTGGGACTGACTTACTACCTTACCCATGAACAACACACCACCACCACCACTAACTCAATATACATGACACTGGAGAGCATATTCCTCAGAGAATCTACCCACTACCTCCTATTGGACCTTCCAAACCGTTGTACGGTGTACAGAGGTAGAGTACCAACGTCCGCTGGGTTACTCTTTTAGGGTTCCTACATAAGTATGGTGGTTAGGTACAGTACAGATGAGAGCCAGAGAGCGAAAGAGCCAAAGAGGCGGCAGGCGGGGGAAGGAAGTGAAAAAGGACCGAGCGCAACTTGCTTTTTTTCTTTCCCTCGCTCTCTCCATCATACTGCTTCATTTGGCAAGGGGGGACTCTTGCGAATTGGTTTTTCCGGTAGGGCGAGAGAAGGGTGCTGTGCGTGCGTGCGTGCGTGCATTCTGCGCGCGTTGTGTTTGTGACTGTGTAGTTGGGCTTCTATTTGCTTTCTTTTGGGGCGGGGGATGGCAGGTAGGTTGTCAGTCGGTCGGTCAGCTGCTTGAGGAGGCTTTGCTTTGTTTTGCTGTTTGGTCAGGTTTATTCGGCTTCATGTTGCGACTCATTTGGAGAATGGACAGGGGACTTGCTCTATCTTTTTTTAAACTAGGGTTTTTCGTCTTGGTTCTCTGCCCTAGAGTATTGATCTACTGCCTTCACGTTTCCCCGCTTCTTTCAAGATGTAGTAGTCGCTGCTACCTTGGTCTCGTGCTTCGTGCTTCCCAGAGAAGCATGTTCGAGATGATTGATGAGGGGGCGGGCGGGCGGCTTGGGGAATTTTCGATCGCAACGGTCGCTAAGAAGTCAAATTCTACGTTGTTGTAGAAAACGAAGAAGAAGGGTAGAATATGCAGGTCGAATCTATATGCCTACTGACCTACCTATGCATAGACCACACAGCCAACGTCTTTCTCCCCCGGACTGGGCGGAAGGATCGGCCGTGTTGGCATGTATTGGAGACCAGTTTGAAGCCTTTTGATATGACGGAATTTGACGCCGATGGGGGAAGAGAGGGGCCGGGGGGGGGGGGGGGAGACTTACTGCATGAAGCACGGGGTTGGGAAGGGAGGGGGAGGATGAGGAGTGAAATACTGAGTAAGTTAACAGAAGGTGAGGGCACATTTTGACTGGCATTTCTTAAGGGTCGGGAGTGAAAGATGCTTCACAAAAACCGGGATTTGATCCGATCTATCACATGGCGGTGAATCTGACCGATGTGCATGGAGGATCCCGGGCTGGGTAGACGTCACCTTTAATGCGAGGGGGGAGGGAAAGGGTGAGGAGAAGGGAGGGTGATCGGACCCCCGCGTACAGGGAGATGTGGAGAGACAGCGAATTGTACTGCAGATAAGTAAGTATGTATGTATGTGTTATTGATCGGAGAAGAAGAGCAGGAAGACGAGGTGTGGTGACAGGAATGTATTCATGCTTACATTAAGTATACTAAGTCAACTTAATTTAGTTACTACTGAACTGGGCTGCCACTTTCCCTTCGACTCAACTTGGCGCTGCTTTTTGCTCACGAAGGAGCCAAGAGCGTGGGAGGAGCATAGAAGTGCGTGTCTGGAATAATCCTGAGCGGCGGTCAAGGATCACTCCGGGAGCGGCTCTTAAGAGATAGTGTCAGTCGGACCATTGCCCTACCTAAACAGCATGTAAGCGTTCATCTAAGTTAATGCGTGCTACTCATGTGACTCAAATATATTGCGCACGACTACGGAAATCTGTCTCGTGGAGCTCCTCGACACCATACGACGGATGTGATATAGACAAGCAAAAGACAGTACTAAACTTCTCGTTAAGAGTATGGCGCCGAAGTCTTGTATGTGCCGGTCAAGATCGTGCCAACATTTCCTATGTGCTCCGGCGCTACTCGTCCATTCCCCCATTTTCATACAGTAGCCCGGGTAAACAACTTCCTCTCGGCCCAGCAGGAGGGACGGCGCCCTCGGCCAACTGCCGGGCGTAGTGCATGTGGCCACTATTCTTGCTGGTATGAAAAAAGGAATGGGATCTGGGTTAAAGGAGGTTAAAGTAGGCCTACCTCACGAAAGTTATGATTTGCTGTTGCTCACTGTACAATTGCAGCTTGTTGTTGGATTATATCCTTCTCCTAATCTATTCTAGAACATCAATATGAAATCTTCCAAGCATGTTATTGATATAGGATGTAGGAGACATGTATAGACTTTATACCAGTCTTTAGCTTTCTTCCATACCGACATACTCGCCATCATCCAGATTATCAGCAGGAAGGATAAATTCTGTTATATGATCGAGGATACAAAATATCTTACTTTCTTGATAAGTGTTGTGGAAGCTCTGCTAACTTAATAGGAAAGTTCGAGGACTCAAGGCTATTCACCATAGTATGCGCACGGTTTAGAGAGCTTGCTCTAATCATATGGTGAGCGAGCGGGAGCGACCGGAGTTTCAAGTGCGTGCTCTGTGAGCGATCTGTGTGTGCTCTGGACACACGGATCGCCCATATACCATCCTGTGAAAGCGGCGGCATCCCCAATTCGGTAAGCAGACGGGGTTCCCGAGTCCTGTTACAGCACAACAGTTCATGTATAGTTTATCAACGGACCATGCTACTTAACTGTCTTCTTGTCCGCCTTGACATGCCTGCGCGCCAGCTCAACGGCGCGACTTGCACGCAACCATGAAGAAAATACGATGTAGGATTGCATGATTGTATCCTCATCATGTGTCTGAGTCTGTGGGATCATCCCATGATCTGGGAAGAAGACGCATGTCTGGCTTTCTGTCTGGCTTGTTCGTACATTCGGCCGACAAAGGATCAGTTGCAGTTGGACAAGAGGAATCCGTCAGGGCATTGAGAGTTCCCACACCCCCTCGTTGCGATCAGGGAAAACCTGGAAATGAACCCCATCTGCACTCCACTTTGCTGCAGCAGATCTCCCTTCCTCGAGTGATTTGTATGTACGTAGACAGGGATCGACATGATACAACATACTCATACATAAGTAGTAGCTGTCGTTTCTCGCTTGCTGTCTGCGCGACGGGGTTTGACAGACCATGATCACCGAGCATGTCCGCTAAGCTTCATCCCTGGCTAGCACTCTCACATATTTGTATACTCATCTAATTAATTATTTAACACACTCGCCCTTAGCTGCAAGGTGGAAGTCGGTAAGAACTCTCTCTCCTTCCACGATCGGTTTGACCTATAATGAATACTCTTCTACTTAGGGCAAAAGCGGAAAATGCAGCCGCCGCCCGCCACCACCTTAACTCTTCACAAGAACTGAACTTGAGGTTAATAACATCATTCAGCTAAGTCTACCTCACCCACGGACTACATCGTAGGTATGCTTCGTGCTTTGCCTCCAAATACCTCCAAATTTCTAGGAAGGATTGCCGGAAAGAGTCCGTAGTCTAATTGCATGAGACTATGTGCGGAGGATTTGTACATGTGGTCTTTCATGCACGCCATCCTTGTTTTTCCATCTGCTGCCTTTTTGAAACCATCTCCTTGTGCCAGACCCGCCTCGAAAGTAAGTTAGATCCTTTTCCCTCTTTGGGCCGATGCTTACAGCCTGACGTCCTGTCAGAGAATATGCATATTCGGTTGCCTAAATGCTTAAATGAGAGAAGGGCCTGATTTGTCGTGGGCTCGCCCTCCAGCGAGTTCTCTCCCCTCCTTCCTGTAGAATTTCGATGTGACTGGGAGAACGTGAGGGGGGATGCCGAGCGTCTGCATGAGACGAGCTCCCTTTCCCCCACTTGCATTGCGTCTTTCTCTCTCTCCCTATCTCTCTGGAAATGGAATTCCATTCCCCCTCCCAGTCCCACGGACACACTGACAGGAGGGACCCAAGAAATTTTTATGCAAGTCAGAATAAGTTAAGTAGTGATTCCGGATCTTTGCTATCTGCCCAACCTCCCACGGCCTTTTTTGTCAAATAAACTTTGGTCCTTGATTCCTTATTCCCTGATTTGCACCAATCGTTGCTTGTTCAGTTGAATGAATGCATTGAATTTATGCTGTGACAGCAAACGCTTGAATGGCAGTCGCATGTATATGTTCAATATGCTAACATGTTTCGCAGCCTAATTTGGACAGTTGTACATGTGCACATGTCCCGAGCACATATGTGTATGCAATCCCGCACGGAGCTCTTTTTACGAGTTCCCAGACTTGTGAAACAAACCTATCTGCTGGGGGAAAAGGCTTACATGCATCTGTACTGTACCACCTGGATTTGGGTTTCCCGATCCCCTTCCCTGCATGGCACTTCAGGGTCGGTGCCACTCCAGGGTCATGTAGTGTACAGTACGTCTTGTATCCATGCACAGCATACTCGGTACACATCGGTTTTCTCTCGGGTGTGACAACATCCCAGGACGATGGTTTCTCTCACACACACACCTCTTTCCCCTGTGCTCTCATTGGGCGGGTGTCCCATTCTTAGCCCTACGAAGCACCCTTGAGGACGAAGCGGTACGGTGTGTGCGTGTGTGTGTGTCGACGAGAGACTTGGCGAGATAGACTTTTTCTGAGAAAGGATGACTTAGTATGTATGTTTGTATGGTATGGTATGTAGCTACTGTGTTGTTACACCCTTGCCTTCTTCCCACTCACCCTCGTTTCTTCTTATTCTTTTTTCCGACATGTAGTATGGAGAGAGGTCGGAAATGCACGGGACTTATGGCTGGTGGTTTGGTGCTTTTGGAGAGATTGGTGGGGTGTCAGGAGATTGTGGTGATGGTACTGTACCTTGGATGCTTGTTGGTCTTTTGGTGCGGTAGATTTCTGCTGTTGAGTTGATTTGCTTGGTTGGGTATATACTATCCATAGCCTGTTTGGCGGTTTCAGGTGAGGTTGAGTATGGGTTGTATTTAGGATGTGGAGGAAGAGGATAGGGATTCTTTTTCTGTTGAAGAGACGTGATGGATATTTACCAGGGAATGTAAAGCTAGACTTATGCGCCGCTTCTATGGCAGAAGTAACAATCCAAAAGAGAGGTATCTCCTGCTACGATACTGTTTCGGAATGCTTCTTAGACTGGGTAAGACCTGTCCGGATGCCTACTGTCTGAGGGTCTCGCAGAGTACTCATTTATAACTGTAGAAATGTGCTATCTCTCCCCGGTAGAGTATGGCCTTCCGAGTAATAATCCAGTCTTAGGCTCATAATGCCCTCCTTGAAGTACCGTACCCAGCAGAATGCCCCAACAGCGGCCTTGCGACCTCGTGGCCAGGCTGTTGACCGCCCGCCGCGCCCATGTTGACATTTTTACTCAGATAGCCTCAAGTACCTGCACTTTTTCATCACCCACATCCTTCATCAATCTGACCAATACATTTTCTTGTGGAAGAGCGGGGCATGACCGAAGTATGAGCGATCAATTCATCTGCTTCCGGCCGAGGCAGAAATTCACACCGTACGAAGGCTCGTTGAAGCCAGTATAACGACCGATGAGGCAGATCTGCGACAGACACTCGGCCGGCGAGATGGGAACATATAGGAAGGAAAGGGAGGCAGTGAGGTCATTGACAAGCGTATCACAGATGTTCGCAGTGCTGGAAAATCCACCACCACTGATCTTCACTGTCTGACGCATGCGAGGACGATGCTCCAACCACTGTTCGTCGTGCCCAGTCGCAATGACATAGGAAAAGACCATGGGAGGAACCGAGCTTCATTACAGCCACCTGCTTTGATGACTAGCATCTCTCAAGACTGAACGAAGCTCATCGAACTTCAAACTTCCCTGTCTATGATGCAGAGAGATAACAGGCTTGAGAGCAACTTGGCCGCGGCTGCGGTTGACCGGACTCATGGGAAGTGACCTCTATCGACCGGGTGCTCGTGATCGCTGCAGTGAAGATGTGACCATGTATCCTTTCGCTATAGCCTTGAGCGATGCAAGGCTTGGCACAGCTGACTATCGATCACATTTGCAGGCAAAGATTCCACTCACCCTGGATGGCAGAAGTACAAGTGGACAGAGCGAGTGGCCGTGGCTACCTCCCACTTGGAATCTTCTAGACCATTAGGAAAGTCTTATCCCATCACCTACAATCCCCGCAGCAATCCCGTCCTTCCCCTCCCCGGCAATTGACCACTCCGAGGTCGGGGCGGGGAATTGACAGCCTTAAATTGTCAGAACGGGTTTGACCGCGATAAGGGGAGTCTAGAGGCGTATCGCTGGGGTAATGAGTATCCTAGTGCAGTAGCACGAGTTTCTATCCATCTGAGCAGACTGACCGTCGATCAGTATCTATGTGCGACACCACAGCAGCGTTGCGAGCGTAGAGCGATTGCTCCTCACGTCTATATTGCACCACTCTCCATGTAGATCCGACCTTGAACCTCAAACTTGACAGAAGACGAAATATAGTCGAATTTCGACCTGCTACCGATGAACGAAAAGAATCAGTGCTTTGCCTGCCTGAGAGCACAGATGCCGCTACAGGCATGGTCGAGTGTGGCAAAGTCAACTCGAAGCTGTCTCTGATTGGTAGGATCAAGCCCCTTGTCAAATCACATATGGAGTCAAGATTGCGAGATGATGTAGTCTTTGATAGGTCACGATTGCGTGCTAACGATTGGCAGACACTGAGAATATGCACAGTGGATGGAAGATTGTGGCTCGCATCGTAAACCCTATGACAAAAGTATGAAGAATCAGGGCCTCTCAGCCACACTTGGTGTTGTGAGTCCTATTGGCGCTTCACCATACATAGTCATGCTTACTCGTGTCGACTATGTTGACTGACTCGACTACCTAGGTCGCATTGGAAAGCATCACCCGACAGGGGCTTCTGTGTCGAAGTGACAAACGTGGGGAGGAAAGTTCCGCAAGTCATGCCATTGCTCTTTGTTGTCATGACTCCGACCTATCGTACCCAATAGATCGATTCGAGCACAACGATAGTTCAATTTCCACAGATCGATCGAGCGAATCGTGGGGCTGGCATGAACAGGGCGACATCAGTACTGGATCATTGCTTACGAATGACCTTATAAGCCAGCGTCTATTCGATGTAACGTAACAGATACACCCGTCCAATGCTACGCACTTTCCCGGTCCGAGATCCATAATCCCGGTGAGGTATACATCTCACAGCACCGGCGGGCCTTCAGATATCTCTGCAGCAAATCTGATTCGTAGGCGCCGATGATTCGAAATCAGACACAAGCTGGACAACGTGGCGGCTAGTCACTTTATACACCGGCTAGATCCTTGTTTTTCAGGTGATGTGTCTCTAAGACCCTCTTATCAGAGTAGGGCCGCACAGATCCCTGACTCACACCGTGAACATGGGTCAGTCGAAGACCAGGAGACGAGGAGTTGCGACTGATCTCAGGAGCCAAGGAGCCACTCTCGTCTTGCACTCCGATATGAGCAAAGTCTCATGTCACCAACTCGAAATTATTAGATGAGGATCAGAACGCATGCATTATCCTCGTCTCCTATATCTTGGAGGAGACCTTTCGGAGAGACGGGCGTCTGGCGGATGTCCGAATCATGTTCCATGTTGCCCTGATGAACCAGTTTCGGGTCAGTGGCCAAAGCTTATAGGACAGGGTAACATTAGCTGATGCCGTCTATCCGCCTCCGCTGCAATATCAGTATGCAAGGTCATGGCCACCAGCTTAATAAGTGATGCCAGAAGCATGGCCACATGATCGAGCAGATGGGCCAGCCGGTGGACGTCCGACTCCTTTACCGGACGTTGAGCCGGTTGACCTTGCTCGGGAGTCTAAATAAACTAAGTAGTAGACCTGATCCAATGAGACTGAGGAGGAACGAAGTAGTTTTCTGCAAGCACACCGTGTTCCCGCCTACTATTGGAGCCACCTAATCTCGGGACGTCCGGCATCGGCGCTCTGGGGGGTTGTGCAAATGCCTGTCGTGGTGGACCGTCTTAGGTTCGGCTAGATGTTATAAATTCTCCTTCCTTTCGCATCTGCGACGGATGATGGTGCATCCTTCATGACTCTTTAAGGTTGAAGGGGGTATTGATGGTCAAAAGATCTCCTGTTAAGCCCCTTCGGAGGGCCGATCCCGAGCCCTAGTCCCTCTGCTCGCAGAGTCTTAACTCTATCGCCAAGTGAGTATTGATATGCAATCCTGCAGAGGCTGTCATTGGTTGCATTGGCTGAATATCTGACCCATCCAGTAGATGTCTCGACTGACCCTGCCAGTTCTCGAAGGAAAGAAGTGGATGCCAGCATTCGCAGTACCAGGCACAACACGTCGTGCACCCTGTCCTTCGGCTGGAGACCATAACATTACTCGAATTACAGTCCTTTACCCACGTGGAGCATTCCCTGATGGGACTGGACTTGGGCTACTGTGTAAAGGGTTGCATCTGAAGGTGTGGTCTGTACACACATCTCTCCACTCAGGGCGACCGAGTCCCGCTGCTTGCCGCTGCGCCGACGGTTGCCGCGCTCTTGAACAAGAAGCCATTACATGAGTTTTTCAATCGCTGGGGCCAGATTTTGAGACCTTGTATTCAGGGTCATGGTTATAAATAAAGAACACTGCGCCAATTGCTCAGAAGATTGGAATTGACAGGAAAGTCATCAGGATAGAAGTTGGGTTTTTTTTCCCCTCCCTCTCTTCGATGAAGCAAAACAGACAAACAAACAAACACGGCTGTTAGTCCCGTGAGTCCTCAGGTTGTATCTTCCATGCCCGTTTAGGAAGGTGCTTTCAGGCTTAGCTCGGGCTCAGCTTCAGCGACACTCCAGCAATCTTCATTCTCAACCTCCAGCACACCCAGTCTCTCCGACCTTGTCTACCACGGCTCTTCCTTCTCAGTTCTCTATCGCTCTCGCAATGGCAGTGATTACTCGATTTTCAATTCCTGTCTCTATAATGGCTATGGCCACTTGGGTTGCTGTCGCGGTTGGGTGAACATCTGCTGGAGCCGATCGACTGCCACTATCCCTGCCACATTCAATCTGTCTGCTTTTATTGGCGGATTTTGACTGCGCAGAGGAAATGACCTCCAAGTGTCTGGACTCTGGACGATCAGCTGGTAGCTGCCTTTCTTACACCAGCGATTGGTTATAGGAAGTGTCGGCAATGACCGAAGCTTGCCGAGTGGTGGCGGTTAATTTATCAGCCTGATCAGCCAGCTCAACCTGGCCTCCGACAGGTACGGTTCGATAAGCACGAGATACTACGGAGTACCGACCTACAGTATGCCCTGAGGACCTGAGATTACGGATCTCTCCGACACAATAGACTGCGAAATTAAATGCCTCATATCTCGAATCATCGGGCTCGAATTCCATCATTTTAACGTTAAACTATTGACACATCATCATTTATTTGTTCGAATCGAACGATAGCATGTGAGACATGGAGTCGGATGCAACCACATTATCATGCCAGTGGGGAACGCTTGAATTCCCAACTTGGCTTAGCCGACCAACGCTGATTGAATTCATCGGGCTTTCTGACTGGATCATCTGACAATAACCCAGAAAAGAGAGAAGGCAAAAGCTGTCGCTCGACTGTTACTCCCATTTCCCCACGCGATAGTTTTGCTGCTCTCGTGGACTTTTGTACGAGGGATCGCATAGCCAGGTGTCGTTTTTATTCTTTTTTCCATCCCGTCCGTCCCCGCTTTTTGTCTTCTGCCAATTGACTTTTCTCGGGGTCAGCAAGCGAGATGGGTCCTAGAACGAACGGAAGACGGTGGTAGCGGCAGTGGTTGGTTGAATTGCGCCTTTCGCTCTAGAACTGGCGCTGCAAGCCGATGCGCTCCATCCCAAAAAGGGTCTACGGCCCGTGAGGCCGAGGTACAGTTGTCGCTAGCTGATGCTTGACAGCGCGCAAAGCACGGAATGAGTTTGATTCGATGTGCTTCTTTTCTTCCCTCCGACTCCGACGAACGATTCTCAATATCTCAAGATGCGACCGAGAATACGACAGTTATTCGCACCAAACCGCAGATCAGCAATCCCCGGTTCTGGCTGGAAGAGCTTTCGATGCTAAATTCGGTTATCATAGTGCTTGGTTGGCGCCAGTCCTCTTGTCACGGGCTCATTCCAAGACAAGCCTTGAACAGACAACACAAGCTCCACCGCACTTAAGAACACTGTACTCGTACTACTGGGACCCACTCAATTTGTGGCCTTAACTCGGGTGCCTGTCGATTACGGCCAAATCGTGTCTCTCCTTCACTCCGAATTGTCAACTCGGGACCAGATATGATGTGATAAGAGCAATGCATAGTATGATTCTTCGACATCCAAACGGCTCACAGGGGCTTTAGTGGGCCATGAAGGAGTTCCACAATGGTCCTGATCGCTCGAATCAGTGCCGAGGATCCCCCACGGGATACACTACCAGGGAATGAACCTGGGCGCCCTGGCACCAACAACGATGGACCTGCATCGGATATACTTTGTTGGCTGAAAACCTAGTCAAGGATAGGATGACGCTAGCTCTATAGCCTTGCAACTGCCATCGAGAACATCCGCTGGTAGCCGCTCTGGCAGGTGCTCAATGTTGCATTGCAGCGAAGCCTGTTTGAAGTTGGAGGAATTGTTCCTGTGAAGGCACCAAACCCACCTTCGTTGTATGGCTGCTATGCCCATCAGGTTACCCTGGATGATCCATTGACCCCGTGATCTACGGCAGTGGCCTTGGCCTTTGCTGGCATCCACCATCACAAAAATTCTTGAGCGACAGTCAAGCATGTAATAGCGATCGCGAATCTTAGAAATGGCCAACGAAGGGGTAAGATGATTCAAGGCCTGCACTAGCGAGATGAGGAAAAACATGCATGCATGGTCGTGGTTATCCAAGGCGTTCAACCCCGACAGATCATGGATGGAGACCTTACTCACCTTCTTATCCTGGAACTCCTTCCGATACCGATTTAGGGTACATGATAAGGACTGCCGCCGAACAAATCAGTGGGCTTAATAGGGCCTGTCTTAATTTCCCACTGGCGCCAGCAAGCCCAAACCAACCCCCTCTCGCCCTTTCAATGAAAGCGGAATTTACTTTGAATCCGGTTTACGTCGGAAGTGCACGGTAAGAAAGCACGAAGTATCATAGCGCTTGCCAATCAACCCCTCTTCCTCGGACTGGTGAATAATCCTCCTTGCGGTCCATCGATTTGCTTTTTTTTTTCTGTTTTCTAGAAGACCTGCAGGGTCATGGATTGGCCGGTCGCACCTACTTCCGCCACTTAGCGTTTACCCCAGGTCAAGACCGGACTGGAGCGGGTCCCATAATACCCAGAACACCCAGAACCAATCTAACAATTTATCTGTCGTCAAGTCGCAGCAAGCGAGAACAATCGCATTCCCAGTCTTGGTGTGCCGACTCTTAAAAAGGCCGATCTTTCTCCTCCTTTCTCTCCACCAGCCCTGCTACTATTGATGGCCCGCGCGTAATTCCCTCGTCCCTCCCTCAATTGTCTTTCCAACGCAACCAATTTCCCTATCCATCAATTGACCAAATTGATCAAATTAACCAACCACGGCGCCCCATCCAAGGCCATGACTAGAACAACCGACGAGATCAAGTATGAGGCTTCCTCATGGGAGCACAAAGGCGTCACCGTGGCAGACGATGGCCGGAGATTAGCGTCGAATCCCGATGCTGCCCGTCCCAAAGGACGCATACGACGATCGATGACGGCTTGCCATACTTGTCGCAAGCTTAAAACCAGATGCGATTTAGATCCGCGCGGCCATGCATGCCGCCGCTGTCTATCCTTAAGGTCAGAGGCAGATCTCCACCTGCTGGACCATTCCAGTGCCCTTCGATTCCTGTAATTAGTGTGAACTGAAGAGCCTCCGACGTCTGACAGTTGTCAATTCCTACAGGATCGACTGCAAGTTACCGGAAACGACCGATCGTTTTCAAGATAATGCCTCAATGTGGTCGGATGCGACGTCCGCGATTCCGTCGATTGAGGAGCGCTTGACCTCACTCGAAAGAAGCATGAGAGAGATGACGAGTATGATGCGCCAAATGCTGGATCAATCGCCAGTAACCCCCACTGGCATTCCCTCGTGTTGGACCAGAGCTACCAATGCCGATGATGGCACGTCGTCGGAAGGCAGCCCATCATCTCCATTTTTGCCCAAGCCTGTTCGGCTCATCCAAGACCTTCAATCGGAATTCTTTGGTGAGACCGAAAACTCGGCATACTTGAGCGAAGACATCGCAAAGGGTGGCTTAGACCATAAACTATCACTCAAACTGCTGCAAATGTACGAACCATCTGTCCTTTTCCCTCGGTGCTTGGACAAATTACTGATGCTTGAAGTAAAGATTCGTGGACAATTTCGGCCCTTATGTCTCCATATATAATCTCTCCGATATACAGAATGAGGCGCGGAATCCTGATTCCTTGCTATATAATACTGCTTGTCTACTGGCATCCCGCTATGTTCCTGGCATCCCCACATCTGTGGTACATACGATATACCTTCAAGTGCGACATGCTGTGGTAAATCTTCTGTGGGATAAGCCACCGCTTCGCTACGAGTCTCTCCAAGCTCTTGCGCTGCTTTGCCTTTGGCCTGCGACTGTACAAAAGGAGCCCCCAATGGACAGCTGGCTGTTGAGTGGGGTTTCGATCAACCATGCCATCATCTCCTTTGATTGTCTCAACTATGGGCCTACGGAGACTATGATCGATAACGAGACCGCCGCACAGCTCCGGCTTTGGAATACTTACTGCTTGACGCAGCTCCAGTGCGGTCCATCCGTTCTACTACATGGCTCTTCCCGCTAATTATGCATAGTTTTGCGGTCGGCAACGCTCGCCCTTTCCACATCCAGCCACGCTATCTTGATCATTGTCCACGGATTCTGGAGCACCCAGGTGCAACTCTGGAGGACGCAAAGGTAGTGGCCGAGATCCAGCTATACCTCATTACACTACGCCTCCAGAGCAATGGCGGCCGAATGCGAGTCGCCGATACCAAATTCGAGGAAATCGAGCGGTGGAGGGCCGAGTGGGCCCATCTCTTCGGTAGGTCCTGAATATCTTGCGAAAATTGGTCAGCTACGAAGGAACTAACGAGGTAGCGAACTCAGCTGGTGAACAGTTCACCCTCGAGCTAAGCCTCTGGTTCTGCCAGATCCTTCTCTACCGCACCTCCATGCGCTTTAGCCCAGGCTCCGATACTCTCGCCTCGGAGGTCCTGCAAACCTCCCGCCTGATGTTGTCCAAGTTTCTTCAGATCCGATATTCTTCCGCTCTAAGCCTCGTCGACCAGACGTATTTCATGGTTGGCTATGCCGCCCTCAACCTCTGTGATTTCAACCTCATGGACCCACTCATCGAGCAGGTACAGATGTTCTTGCTCCATCTGTCCCCCAACGAGGATCACATCGCCTATCGCTTCTCCTGCATGATTGTCGAGTTCAAGCGGCGATGCACCGAGGGCAGCGATCCGGCCACCACCGCCGCCGCGGCCGCGGTAGCAGCGGCAACTGCTGCCAAAGCCTCCTCTCCCCTGTCATCCTTCGGGGAAACGCGGAAGATGAGCATGGAGCAGACGGCCTCATTCCTGCCCCCAATGGTCGATAATATGATTGATGGCTACGGGTTCGAGCAATTGATGCCGGAAGTCCTCCCACAATCATTTCCCGACGGTATGCTCAATGAGATGGCAGTCGCCGGGATACCAGGATATCGGTCGGCAACGCTCTGAAACTCCCGCCCAGCCCAACCCAGCCAGTAGTCTAGTCCGCCGGGAGGAGGGAGGGGGGGAGGAAAAGCGATACGACGGACTAGACTTTAGCCCCCTGGCCCCTCTCGAACTGATAATGGCAACTTATGACGTACGATGAATAGAAACAATTCTTTTAGGTTAAAAAGAGAATAATATGTCCGAGAAATAATATGTATATTTGTATAGTATAGTTACACTAAATATATAGAACTCATTTCTGGCTGCTCGAGAATTTACTCCGTAAATACGGTACCAAGCTAGTCCGAGAGGAGGGGTTCAATTGGACCTCGGAGATAACTTACTAACTAGACTAGTCAGTCGACTGGAGTTCAAGGTTGTTGCATTGTCACATGCAAACATGCCACTCACTCACTTCCGCGGAAAGAGAGGAGGGCCAGAGATAAGTGAGCCGATTCAATATAATCTCGGTCTCCTGTAGCTCAGATAAGAAACCCAAGAACATGACGCCATATCGTGTTCGTTATCCCCTCCCCTCCTCTTCCCCTCCCCCTGAATTATGAACAGGCTGTAAGTCACTGTACATGTACCTGATTGTTGGTTTTATCGGTGGTGTGGCCTTGAAAAGGGAAGGAGAAGAGGAGGAGGTGAAGCCTAGTGGTGGAGGTTGGGCCGGAACCTGAACCACGAAAGAAGTCTGGTTTGTCTGTGCCTGCCTGCACTTTCTCGTTCCTTGTACCGCAGTAGTGTACGGACTACCCTGCCAAACCAAATATAGCAAATATTGTACACATACTACACAGTACGGAGTTACCTGTGACGTAGCTGGCAGCGCCCGTCCTTGTCCTTGGCTTGCGGTCCGTTCCGTGATATCCGTTGCTGTCAGTACCACCCATCCACCTCCACCAATGGTCTACGCTCGGTGTCCTACGTAGAAGTACTGTTACTGTTACTGTTACTGTAAGTTTTACATACAGGTTCTATCGATGTGAATATGGACTGATGACAGCAGGTAGGAAAAGCAGGGTTTCCGGGTACGTACGTGGCTTCATTAGCCTTGTTTTTTTTCTTTGTAGAGTTTGTGCTTCTGTTCGACGTTGAGCAGCACTTCCCCCCCGCCCCTTGGGATCTATCCTTATCGGGTCTTCTAGGTAACCCAAACACCTTGGATTGGGTCATGTTCTCCGCCGTCTTCAACCCTTCAACCTCAACCTCTTAGTAAGCGGTAATCGAGAAAAAAAAATAAGGAATGTCTATACATGCGAAGAGCAACACTCCGTAAGAACTAGGTACAGATCGAGCTCCCGCTCAATTTTTCCGTTGGGAACAACACCCTCGGTAACCCACTTGCCATCGGCACGGAGACCGACCCGTCCGCGTTGACGGTCAGGGTGGTGCAGGTGAACACCTCGGTGACCTTGGTGCCGGCTGCGAATCCTGTCCCCGTCAGCGAGAGGGTGTACGTTTTGCCCCCGCTGCCTAGGTTGGAGAGCACCGTGATGATCTGCGTGCCATCAAACCCTTTCCGCATGGCTAACGTGGTGGTATCGCTGTAGATTGGGTAGTTCTGCAGGCGGCATTGGGAAACACAGTTAGTTACGGAAAGAAACATGGGCAATTGTCAGAATTTGAGGGCTGAGACGCACCTTGTAAGCCAAGTACTTCGCATCTTGGCTGATCGCGTGGCTGCGGATCTTGTTGGCTGTCGCTATCGAGGTGTAGAGGGGGCTGGTGGTGTTGTAGCCGGACAGCCAGGTGGCTTCGCGGTTGAGAGGGTCGTTGCCGCCGCTGTAGTGCTGTTCCTGGCCCGCGTAGATGATGGGGATCCCGTCTGCGAGGATGGAGAATGTGGCCACATTTTTGGCTAGGGAGATGTCCTTTGTGTACCTTTTTGAGAGAATGATGGGGTCAGCTGGGCTGCAGGGGTGGCTTGACGAGCTTGCTTAGAGAAAGTGATTGACTCGACTTACGAGGCGAAGCGTGGGTTATCGTGGTTCTCAATGAATGTTCCCAGCGAGGTGGAGTCTGGACAATTGTCTTTGACGGTGTTGATCATGTTGTATAAATCGCTGATGCTACCGCTTGTTGACTTGAATGCTCTAAGGAGAGGATAATACCTTTTGTGAGTTAGCATTTTCAGCCTCCGCTTCGAAAGTATGATGACCAAGGCTCATACATAGGATAATTCAGGACCCCGTCGAGATAATTCTGATACGGACAAGTGTATGAGGCATCTCCGTCGAGGACCTCGCCAATACAATATACACCAGCGGCTTTGTTATAGCCCGGCCAGAAGTCTTTCTGGACGTGCTTGACTGTGTCAATGCGAAGGCCATCGACTGGAATTATCAGTCATCCACGTTTCATGCCGCAACGGATCTGGGATCAACATACTGGAGTAGTTGGAGACAAGCGACTTGACCCAGTCATACCACATCGTCTGTACGTCACTGCGGGTTGTGTCCAGATCAGGGAGCGAGACCTTGTTATCGCCCAGCCAGCAGTTCTGGACGTTGGTTTGGTTGTCGTAGTTGGTGATTGCACAGTAGGGATGGAAGTATTCTTTCTTGTTGAAGGGTTTGAATACACTATAGTCAACGGAATCACCTGCTCCGTCGTAACCCTAAATGAATCTCGTCAGCATTTACGAGTCTGATAGCCTGCTCCCGCTAGCATAAAGGTCAACAAACCATGTGGTTGGCAACGACATCAACCATGAGGTACATGCCACGCGCGTGAAGAGCTGAGGCCAAAGCCTTGAGATCATCTGCAGTTCCATAATGGGAATTGAGAGAGTATCTTTCAGAATGGGTGAGCGCCTTCTCACACCAACGAGGGGCGAGGAGCTCACGCGTCTTGTTGCCAGTATCCATGGTAAGCCTGGCCGTAAGGGGTGTCTTGAGGGACTTGCGCCGTTACTGGAGTGATCCAAATGGCTGAAAATCCCATGCCCTGAATATAGTCGAGCTGATTGATGCCATCAGTAAAGTAAACGACATGTCAAGCCCATCAGAGGAGAGGTAAGGTAGCGAGCAGATTTACCTGGTTGATGATGCCGCGCCATGTTCCACCGCAGTATCTCTATGCACACATCAGCCTCACATGGCAAGCTACAACTTGGGCACCTGCCAAACATACCCCGATGCTTGTATCACAAGTAGCAGTGGTTGAATTGTCCGTACGAGCAAAACGGTCGGTAAGCAAGAAGTAGATGGATCGGGAGCGCCAATCGGCCGGAGTCGCAGCGAATGCGGTCGCCGCGACCGTGAGCAGCAATAAGAGAAGGTTCATGATGGTATTGTGTATAATAGCTGGCTCCATGGTGTACCATTGACTGAGCTGGATTGGCGAGCTTTATACTTCGCCGAAACGTGCACTGCCGAGTCAAGTCAACCTGAGTCTGTTTCACGATGACCCATTCCATCACTGTAATTTGTGCCAGCCACGAAAGTGGATACGCAGTAGCTGACCTTTCTCTGGACCCTTCATTTCCTCCTGCAGGATTCTTAGGGAAAGGTTAGAGGTTAGAGATTAGAGTTGTGCCCGAGGACCTCTGAATGTTGGGGTCCAAATTCCTTGGTCTTGTTGGGGATGGATGGATGGATGGATGGTTTGGTCAGGGGCTTGAGGGAATTCTCCCTGGGTAGCGGCAGGTGACTTGTCCTTGTGCTTCCTTCCTCTTCTACCTGTTGGTATGTTTTTCTTTGTTCTTCTTTGGGTCTTTCCAAATCGATTTATCAATGGTGCGACAATGTTATGGTTGGCAATTTTGACCTCAGTCTCGGCGAAGAATGTCGGCGGATGGTCCGCCCGACCGCAGATCGCTCCTCATAAATATTATCTATTCAAAAGAACGCTGCTATACTCGCATCATAGACACATAAGCAGTCATTATTCACCACCACACTACCACTCCAGAACCCAGTCCTCAGCCCATGCACCGCTTCTCGTTACATCCTGCAGATCGCCAACATGCAAAACATGCGACGTCGAGTTATATTGAACTTTCGACAGCTGTTTCCCGTTGAGCTTTACCGATGAGGGTCTCTGTTTAACTCCCAGCACCGTCACATTCGCAAGTGGATTCTTTTCCGCCCAATCCCCCTTCGCCGAAACGTGCAGGCTCGAGCGCGATGCCGAAAAATCAACGTTCAGCGTCGCGTTGGGATTGACGCTCACCCCGTCATCAAGGTAGAGTTGTCCCGATGCAGCACCGTCACTATCAAGCGCAGCTAGCAAGGACCAAGGGGACTTCCGAGCCTCACGAGTAGTCAATGCCGGCTCCTGAAGAGGAAGGATATTGCCACCGCGGACGTAGACTGGAATGTGGCCCAGTGGGGCCGAGATTGTCGTGTTAACGCCCGCCTCTGCATCGACGGCCGTCTGTGTATACCAGTCATACCACACTTCTCCATGAGCCACTCCGGGAAAGACACCATTTACGGTATCGGCTTGCGGCTCGAGCACGGGTATGGCCATGATTGCAGGGCCAACGAGGAATTGAGTATCCACGCCAGCCAAAGTAGGATCATTGGGAAACTCCCAGGCGAGCGCACGCATGACCGTAGATCCAGTGCTGTGGGCGAGCTGAAACAGGGTATAATAATAAGGCAATAAAGCATAACGAACTTGCATGGCAGTTTTGGAGGCCTCAATAACGGACGCCCATCGATATGGTTCTTGCGGGATGGCAGAGAGTACATTGTGGTTTCGGTAGAACGGGAAGAAGGCCGATAACTGCATCCAGCGATTGCAAAGCTCTTCGTCCGTATTCCCGTTGAATCCACAAGTATCCACTCCAAACATCGGGATGCCAAAGAGAGAGAAGGAAAGCGCCTGGGCGATTGAGAAATACATGGAGCCCCACTTCGAGATGTTGTCTCCGCCCCAGTGTCCAGCCCACTTGCCTGAACCAGCGAAAGTCGAGCGCCCAATGATGAAGGGGCGGCGCTTGCCGGACCAGACCTTGAGCAGACCTTGGTAGGTCGCATTCAGGCCTTGGTGACCAAACAGACTGTGGA